CTGATTTTGCAACCTCAGAGCCAAGAAATTGGATTTGGCCCAGAATTTGTTGGATTATTTCAGATTTTTAGGGGGTTTTCTCCTCTTCTTGATAAATGCTTCGGCCTAATCAAAAAATGTCAAACATCACAATACTTCTAAAAAATCAATTAATCAAATAAATGATTTTAATATGGAAATAATATGCAACACAGCCTTCTTCTCAGAACTGGACAGGGTCCTCTGTGGCTGAGGACAGACCCTGCCTTCCCGCAAACTGTTTGGTAAGTAATGCTGCCACCTAGCGGCCTTCTGGAGAATCACCACCCTAACAGGTAACAGCTTTCAGCACATTTCAGGCTTACGTGGGATTCACTGCATTTGAATTGATTTTTACCAACCTTTGAGATATAAATTAACTACTTTTGAGAAATTTTTTTTTCAGGTATGAGTCTTAAAACCACTGGGTGGCAAACATTACGTTGTTGAAAGCAGCTCAATGAAGATGAAGATACGGCGGAAGATAGTGTTTGCCTATGTCCAAACTCACCCAATCGTACACATTGCAAGTCTATCGATTATACCCCAGTAAATCTGTTTTCAAAATAAGAAAAGAAAAATTAATTTAAAAAAATCATGACAAAAAATAAAACACCTTCTTTGTAAAACTGTAGTACGGTTGTAACAAATACAAACCTTCACAGGTATCTTCTGGAGAAAGTAGGTAAAAATAAAGCATGAGTGATCGGCCGCAGAGAGGAACAGCTGTTTGACCAGAGAAGCTTAGAATCACAAACTCCAGGAACGGTGCATGTGTTCAGTGAAAGTCTAAGTGACAATTTCTAAGAACCCATGTCAGGAGCTTGGCTCACAAACCAGGCCAAATGGCTTCTTCGTGTACTTTAAACTATGGTGCTTTCACAAAGGTGAAAAATCAGCTAGCATTTTCGGGTGTTTGCTATTTGCCCAAAGACAGATTAAAGCACTTTGTAAGGCTACTATGAAGCCTACACCACCCTCTGAGGCGGTGGTACTCATATTCATCCATTGTCATTGTCACAAGAGGAACTGTGGCTTGGGGAATTAACAAGGCAAATGAGCGTTGGAGCCAGAATGTAAACCCAGACGGTCTGATCTCAGAGCCGGCTCTCTGCCTCCCTAAGCTGTAAATGATACTTTGCTATTGTGCTAAGAGGTATGTGAAGCAAATAGACGTCAGGTGTCCAGCAGGGGAAAACACTGTTTACAGAATAGAGGAAGTTTCCGTTTTCTAGTTGAATGGCGTGAAAGAAAGTGTCTCAGTTTTGTCCCAGTGGCATTTGTCTTAGCTCCTGTTATATTAGAAACCACTGAAAAGTATTTCATTCCTTTAATCATTTAAAAACTCTCCTGTGGACCCTCTTCCATGCCTGCTGACTGCATGGATCGTCAGATATTTTGGCTAGTTATGCTTGTCACTGTGTTAGTGACATTTCACTTTGTGATACCTTGTGTTTCTTCTTGTTGTCACTGCTCTGCATTTAGGGTCACTGAGCACATGTGTCCTGTCTGCTTTCACTGAGGTATCTGTGCATGATATTCTGAGGAGATAACCAGTCCAGACATGGCTCTGAAGATTATTTGAAGATGCATGTGGCTCACCCAGAAGTACCATGTCACAGCCCACTACGCCCCTGAGCTGGACCCGGCCCCTGCATCTCAGACTGTAAGTTGTATCCGGATCACCTGGGAACCTTTCTAGAATGTGGGACCTGAGATTCTGCATTTTCGATCTAATGCCCATGATGCCAGTCCGTGGACCACAGTTTGACCTTGGTACTAAACCACCCACCTCTGCTTGGGTCTGAAAAGAAAATCTGGTTTGATTCTGACATCAAGGAAAAAAACCTGCCCCATAATTTTCTCTCTTTCCCAAGTTTTTATGTATCTGACCATAAAAATCAAGTTTGATATAAACTTAGTCATAAATTTTTATGTTTCTAAACAAAAGTACCTATAAAAACTGTTTTAAAAATAGATTATTTCCGTTTGGGTCATAAAGCTATAAGCGCAAACATTTTTCTTCCTTGGCTTCAAAATGTTTGAAATTTATACTTGGGCTATAGATGATATCATGAAGTGTCCAGGTCAACACTTCTAGAATAGTCTACTAGAGAGCTGCCTGACCTCTAGGCCCATCTTGGGGCAGGCAGGTGTAAGGCCTCCTTGGTCAGTTCAAGCTATATCCAGAACTCTGGGCATTAAAGAGACTAAAATCAGATTTTAGGTTCCTCTGGATTAGCTCCTTGACCTGGAGGTCTTATTTTAATTGAAGCTGATTTCGGAGTTTCCTCGGTCTCTTCACAGCTCCCTTTCAGGTTCCTTGGCGTCTGTACTCTCCTGGTCACTGTCAGTAGCGCTCATCTTGCTCTAACTAGGAGGCATATAGGACTTATAACAGAGGCAAATGAAAAATATCTACACTCGGGTCTCCCGATCAAATGACATAAGGGTGAAATGAAGGAGATATAGTGTCAGAAAACGACCATTTTCAAAAGAAACGGGGATGATTTCACCTGCCAACTCAGTGTAAGTACCTGAGAAGTGTCATTCAGCCAGGGACACGCTAAGGGAAGAACCATGCCTGGCACTGAGGAGGAGATGGGCTTCCTCTACTTCATGTGGGTGAAGCGTCAGTGGAGCAGTACAGCGGTTCCCGTGTGCATGCGGGAGGCGCGAGGTCAGGGAGGCTGTTCCTGTGCCTGCAGGAGGCGCGTGCTCAGAAAGGCTGTTCCC